AAAACACTCACCACTCATAAAGTTAGGCAGACGAACTTTGACGACTTGTGATGATGATGACAATGACGATGATGATGGTGATGATAGTTAGCCATGCAGCTACTGATGACAGTTCAGTGGAGGTGATTATATACTTTTTTCCCGCATTTGTTTGGTAAATATGATTGGGCGACTGGGCATTCGTGAATGTTTGAAGCTTGTGAAAGTGGAACTCGAGAAACTGGAGGGCTAGCTATATGTATGAGTGATGGTGAAAGTGTTGAATGATGATGAAAGTTTTTTCTTTCTTTTGGGGTTTTTCTTTCTTTTTTGGGTCACCTTGCCTCCATGGGATATGGCCGACATGTTTAAAAAAAAAAACATACAATAGGAGGGGCTTGAACTCGCGATTAGGTTTATGACTCGCTAACTGTGAGTTCAAGCCCCACCCATGGTATGGTTTGTTTTCAATCATGTCATTACATTTTTGTGGGTCAAAATGTATGGACAGTGGGCCCTCGGTTTTCGTATGCCCTAGTCTGTATGTAAAACTACGTTTTTTTTTTTTTTTTTTTTTTTAACAAGTCAGCCATCTCCCACCAAGGCAGGGTGACCTAAAAAGAAAGAAAATCCCCAAAAAGAAAATACTTTCATCATTATTCAACACTTTCACCTCACTCACACATAATCACTGATTTTGCAGAGGTACTCAGGATACAACAGTTTAGAAGCATATATGTATAAAGATACACAACATATCCCTCCAAACTGCCAATATCCCAAACCCCTCCTTTAAAGTGCAGGCAATGTACTTCCCATTTCCAGGACTCAAGTCCAGCTATATAAAAAAACTGGTTTCCCTGAATCCCTTCACTAAATATTACCCTGCTCACACTCCAACAGCTCGTCAGGTACCAAATACAGTGGACCCCCAACTTACGATATTAATTCATTCCAGAAGTCTGTTCGGGTGCTGTTACCGAACAAATTTGTTCCCATAAGGAATATTGTAAATTAGATTAGTCCGTTTCAGACCCCCAAAAATACATGTACAAAACCAATTACAAAAATACACTTACATAATTGTTCGAGTTGGGAGCTGATCGTAAGGCAGGGGTCCACTGTACCATTTGTCTCCATTCACTGCTATCTAACACGCTCATGTACGCTTGGTGGAAGTCCAAGCCCCTCGCCCACAAAACCTCCTTTACCCCCTCCCTCCAACCTTTTCAAGGACGACCCCTTACCCCGCCTTCCTTTCCCTACAGATTTATACGCTCTCCATGTCATTCCACTTTGATTCATTCTCTCTAAATGTCCATACCACCTCAACAACCCCTCTTCAGCACTCTGACTAATACTTTTAACTCCACACCTCCTAATTTCCACACTTCGAATTTTCTGCATAATATTTACACCACACATTGCCCTTAAACAGGACATCTCCACTGCCTCCAACCATCTCCTCACTGCAGCATTTGCAACCCAAGCTTCACACCCATTAAGAGTGTTAGTACCACTATACTTTCATACATTCCCTTCTTTGCCTTCATGGATAATGTTTTTTTTGTCTCCACATATACCTCAGTGCACCACCCACCTCTTTCCCCTCATCAATTCTATGATTAACCTCATCCTTCATAAATCCATCCTCTGACATGTCAACTCCCAAATATCTGAAAACATTCACCTCTTCCATATTCCTCCTCCCCAATTTGATATCCAATTTTTCTTTATCTAAAGCATTTGATACCCTCATCACCTTACTCTTTTCTATGTTCACTTTCAACTTTCTACCTTTACACACACACTCAAACCCATCCACTAACCTTTGCAATTTTTCTTTAGAATCTCCCATAAGCACAGTATCATCAGCAAAAAGTAACTGTGTCAATTCCCATTTTGTATTTGATTTCCCATAATTTAATCCCACCCCTCTCCCGAACACCCTAGTATTTACTTCTTTTACAACCCCATCTATAAATATATTAACCATGGTGACATTACACATCCCTGTCTAAGACCTATTTTTACTGGGAAGCAGTCTCCCTCTCTTCTACACACTCTAACCTGAGCCTCACTATCCTCATAAAAACTCTTTACAGCATTTAGTAACTTACCACCTATTCCATATACTTGCAACATCTGCCACATTGTTCCCCTATCCACTCTATCATATTCCTTTTCTAAATCCATAAATACAATAAAAACTTCCCAACCTTTATCTAAATACTGTTCACATATATGCTTCAATGTAAACACTTGATCTACACATCCCTTACCCACTCTAAGACCTCCTTGCTCATCCTCAATCCTACATTCTGTCTTACATCTAATTCTTTCAATAATAACCCTACCGTACACTCTTCCTGGTATACTCAATAAACTAATTCCTCTATAATTTTTACAATCTCTTTTGTGCCCCTTCCCTTTATGTAAAGGAACTATACGTGCTCTCTGCCAATCCCTAGGTACCTTACCCTCTTTCATACATTTATTAAACAAAAATACCAACCACTCTAACACTATATCCCCCCCTGCTTTTAACATTTCTGTCATGATCCCATCAGTTCCAGCTGCTTTACCCCCTTTCATTCTACATAATGCCTCATGCACCTCCACCACACTCACATCCAGCTCTTCCTCTCTCCTAAAAGATGGTATACCTCCCTGGCCAATGCATGAAATTACCGCCTCCCTTTCTTCATCGACATTTAAAAGTTCCTCAAAATATTCCTGCCATCTACCCAATACCCCCATCTTCTCATCTACTAACTCCCCTACTCTGTTTTTAACCCTTTGACTGTTTTGGTCGTATATATACACCTTACAAGCCACTGTTTTTGACATATATATACTCATAAATTCTAGCGGCTTCAAATCAAGCAGGAGAAAGCTGGTAGGCCCACATGTGAGAGAATGGGTCTATGTGGTCAGTGTGCACCATATAAAAAAAATCCTGCAGCATGCAGTGCATAATGAGAAAAAAAAACTGACCGTTTTTTTAATTAAAATGCCGACTTTGTGGTCTATTTTCGTGTAGTATTTATGGTTGTATTCTCGTTTTCTTGGTCTCATTTAATAGAATGGAAAGCATATTATAGAAATAGAGGTGAGTTTGATTGGTTTTACTATGAGAAGAACCTTGAAATGGAGCTCGAAGTAGGGGAAATATTTGATTTTTGCCGATGTTCAAAAGTAAACAAATGACGTCATTTTCCAATAAATGTCCAAGTAGCCATTCTGATATGCAGTCATGAATGGGTTGACATTATTTAAACAATTATTACAATATTGCAGTAGCCTGCATAACAGTAAATCTTCTATTTTTTGTTTGAATAAAAATTCAAAATTGAAAGCAAGAGTAATCAGAGGGGCCTGGAGACGTGACTGATTAACAAAGAAAATGTTATTTTAGAACCAGGAATGTCTGCATTGTTCATTCTGGACCCTATTTTGAAATTGTCACATTTTTTAATTTTTGTGAAATTGGCCAAATTGCAAATTTCTGACCATGTTATTGGGTAGTTGAAATCGGTAAATGGGCAGTTTCTTGTACTCAATTGATAGAAAAAATGGAGTTCTAAAGAAATAGCTATGAGTTTGGTCGACTGGAACAATGGAATTAGCCGAAAATAGGGCTCAAAGTGGGCGAAATCGCTGATTCATAAATATCGCCGAGGTCGCTAACTTCGCGAGAGCATAATTCCGTCAGTTTTCCATCAAATTTCATTTTTTTGGTGTCATTACAATCGGGAAAAGATTCTCTATCATTTCATAAGAATTTTTTTTTTTTTTTTTTAATTTTGCAACACCAGGAGACACCTCAGGATTTGGGGCTGCGACAGTCAAGGGGTTAACTGAGAAATCCATTCGTTCTCTAGGCTTTCTTAACTTGTTTAACTCACTCCAAAATTTGTTCTTATTTTTATTAAAATTTCTTGACCGTGCCTCTCTCACTCTATCATCTGCTCTCCTTTTGCACTCTCTCACCACTCTGTTCACCTTTCTTTTACTCTTCATATACGTACTCTGCTCCTCCTATAACACTTCTGCCTTGTAAAAACCTCTCATAAGCTAATAAGTTAATATTTTTGGGTGTCTGGAATGGATTAATTGGATTTTCACTATTTCTTATGGGAAATGTTGACAAAAAATACATATTATAGAGAATAACTATAGTTTTACATAAAGACTAGGGCCTATGAAGACCGAAGTTCCACTGTATGTGTAATTACTGCTGATGTCTACTTGATTGTGGTTCCTGATATTACCAACATTGCTTTTTGGGGTCAGTTGATGTTGGATTCTGGGCTGCTCATATTCCTGTGGTCATTATTGTCAGTTCCCAGGACTACCAATATTAGTTCCTGAGGTAACTAACGTTGGTTTTTCTGTAACTAAAGTTGGTCTCTGGGGTCACTGCCCCCTGGCCCAGTTTTGTGTTTAATATTAAAATTTATGGTAGCTGTGTAACATCATTTAACTATTGGACTCGAATATATGTTTATTACAGTACATATGTTGTGTGTTTGATTTGAGCTACGCTCATTACAGCTTTTCTTCACTTAGCAACATACTTGCTAACCGATAATTTGGACTTACGACCAGCTCTCTGACCAGTATACATGCATAAATAATGTATATTAGAGCTGATTTCCTCTATTCTGTTTATGACATTATACACTACACTACTGTATAAACATTTAAAAATATACTAAAAATGTTATAAATGATGCAAAGGTGACATTAAACAATATCAAAGATGGTTGACACAAACCCACTACCATTATAGTATGCTCCTTGCTTAGTAATGAATTCGTTTACCAACATGGTCTTAGGAATGCAACTTCATCGTTAAGTGAGAAGAAGCTGTATTTAGTATGTGGAGTTGTAACCTGCAGTTCATAATATAATTAAAATTTCAAACATTGAGCATGGCAGAAGTACTGAAAGGCAACAAAACAAAAATGCAGTAATGATTTATTTATTTCTCTAATGATGACATTTTTCTTCTATAGGTAAATGGAACAGTGTGCCCAAGTAAGACCTCACTAACTCCAACTTTAGCCTCTCGGTTACATACTCTCTGGAGGCACATTTCTAAATCTCGGACCCATTTTGAAACTACACCTGACACAGGTAAATAGAAAATTTAAACATTTTGCTGTGTAACATTTGATTTAAAAATATAGGTACTATAATTTACAGTGGACCCCCGCTTAACGATCACCTCCCAATGCGACCAATTATGTAAGTGTATTTATGTAAGTGCGTTTGTACGTGTATGTTTGGGGGTCTGAAATGGACTAATCTACTTCACAATATTCCTTATGGGAACAAATTCGGTCAGTACTGGCACCTGAACATACTTCTGGAATGAAAAAATATCGTTAACCGGGGGTCCACTGTATTTATGTTATTGATATCATTTTGGTAGGATTGTTGGTGTCTTTTTTTCTGTCTTATACACATGCAAGATTTCAGGTATGTCTTGCTACTTCTACTTACACTTAGGTCACACTACATGTACATGTACAAGCATATATATACACACCCCTCAGGGTTTTCTTCTATTTTCTTTCTAGTTCTTGTTTATTTCCTCTTACCTCCATGGGGAAGTGGAACAGAATTCTTCCTCCGTAAGCCATGCGTGTTGTAAGAGGAAGTGGACCCCTGGCATTCGATGGCATCGGTATACGTTAAATCCGGTATTCAATACATTTTAACGCAAAAATTTTGCCTCGCCACTCGTTAAAAAACCTGCCACATGCGATTTGTCTGGGACGTGTCCACATGTGGCCTGAACTGCCCCGTGCGTGCCAGTGTTTACAAGCCAGCCAGTGTGCTCGCATCGAAGCATACATTTGGTACATTCCATATTATCACAGTGTTTTTGGTGCTTGTTTCTGCAAAAGAAGTCACCATGGGCCCCAAGAAAGCTTCTAGTGTCAACCCTGTGGTAAAAAGGATGAGAATTAGTATGGAAATTAAGAAAGATTTTGAAGGGTTTGGGGCTAACCCTGAGAAGCCTATGCCAGTTGTGGAATCCACTGTGCCTACTTCAAAAATTAAGGAAATGTGTGCAAAGTGGGGGTTGAACTGCAAACCTTTATGGATGAAAATCACCCTAACACAGCTATTGCAAGCCGTGCTGGTGACTATTCCAGTGACAATGTTATGGCCCATTTTAGACAAATCTTAAATGAACGGGAGGTACAGACCTCTATGGACAGATTTGTTGTGCAACAGAGGTCCAGTGACTCTAAAGCTGGTCCTAGTGGCATTAAAAGAAGAAGGGAAGTACTGGTTTGGTAATAGAGTTGTGGATGAGTGGAACAAACTCCCAAGTACCGTTATAGAGGCCAGAACGTTGTGTAGCTTTAAAAATAGGTTGGATAAATACATGAGTGGATGTGGGTGGGTGTGAGTTAGACCTGATAGCTTGTGCTACCAGGTCGGTTGCCGTGTTCCTCCCTTAAGTCAATGTGACCTGACCTGACTAGGTTGGGTGCATTGGCTTAAGCCGGTAGGAGACTTGGACCTGCCTCGCATGGGCCAGTAGGCCTTCTGCAGTGTTCCTTCGTTCTTATGTTCTTATGTTCTTATGTTCTTATCTCAAGTCCTAATGGAAGGGGATTCCCCTTCTAAACATTAACAACTTCCACACTCTCCCCTCCTCCCATCTCATCAATCATCACTAGCTCTTCATTAAAGGTAAGTGTCATGTATTCTATTGTTAGTAGAGTACTACAAACTTGTCATGTTTTCTTCAGTTTGTGTGCATTAAACTTAATATTTCATATGGTAAAATTTTTTTTCATACTTTTGGGTGATTGCACGGATTAATTTGATTTCCATTATTTCTTATGGGGAAAATTAATTCGCCTTCCGATAATTTTGGCATACGACGAGCTCTCAGGAACAGATTAATATCGTATACCGGGGGTCCACTGTATTACTAAATGCAAAAGGAGAAACTTCCGTTTTTCCTTTCGGGCCACCCCGCCTCGGTGGGATACGGCCAGTGTGTTGAAAGAAAAGAAAAGATATCATTTTGGTTTGAGCATTTCTTAGGTGGCATTAAGAAAATGGAATTGAGAAAGGGATGAGTTGTTTGGAAATTACGTATGTTCTTGCCTACTTATCTTAGCTCTGTGAGCGGGTTAAATAAAGTAAATTTTTGTCTTTAAAGGGGCTATTAGAGCTCTCTCAAATTTTGGATAATTTTGCTGATAGTATAAGATGGGATGCTCACCTTTTGATAACAGTGACTACCACTTTCTCCTGCCCAACACTGAACACCAGTGGTATTCAGCAACCTTCTACACTTGTTAACTAAACAAAATATGTGGCATGTAAACAATGTAAATTTAGTTATCCACTAAATCCAGGGATTTGAGTCTAACAATTGCTATGCTCTGTGTGTCACTGAGCTACCCTGTTTAATGCTGAGATGTAGTGTAAACCCCCTGTCAACCAAGGTAAGTGGCTGTTAAGTGAAGTTTGTCTAAATAATTTTCTCCTTATACAAAGACATATTGTATAAGATATTGTCCAGTGAGAATTCTTAGTACTCTTGAAAAATTGGCATACTTTGCAAATCTTTCACAAAACAGCATAACATTACACAAATAACCTGAATATAGGAGAAAGAAACCTATGATGATGTTTTGGTCTGACTTGGCCCATTAATCCTTCAACTGTCCAAATTTAGATCTATGTTTTCACTGCCAGCACTCCGAATATTTTTTTTTTTTTTAAATTAAAGATGGCAATTTTCTGTGTGTAATAAGACCAACAACAAAAAAATTTTAGGATCAGTACGTACCAAGATATAAGACCATGAAGTTGGCGCTGGATCCTCACCTGACGGCAGCATGGAGTTCTGCCACTTGCAGAAGTGTTGCCAATATACCTTTTTTTCTCTCTTTTTTTTTTAATTTATATAATTTTTTTGTTCTGATAATTACAAAGCTGAAGGGGGTGGGAGAGTTTCAATGGAGAGGAATAAATGGGATTAGGTCAGGGGTTTCAAATAGAGTTAGAGCTAAAGAAGGAGTAGCAATAATATTGAAGGATAAGCTATGGCAGGAAAAGAGGGACTACAAATGTATTAAATCAAGGATTATGTAGAGTAAAATAAAGATTGGATGTGAAAAGTGAGTTATAGTAAGCGTGTATGCACCTGGAGAAAAAAGAAGTGTAGGGGGGAGAGAGAGTTTTTGGGGAAAATGTTTGAGTGAATGCTTTGGGGAGTTTTGAATCAAGTGTGAGAGTAATGGTGGTTGGGATTTCAAGCTAAAGTGGGAAAAAATTGTTATGGAGGGAGTAGTAGGTAAATTTGGGGTCCCAGGGGTAAATGTAAAGGGGGGACCCTTTAAATTGAGTATGTGTAGAAAGAGATTTGGTAATAAGTAATACATATTTTATGAAAAAGTGGATAAATAAATATACAAGGTATGATGAAGCAGTAATGAAAAAGTAGTTTGTTAGATTATGTATTGGTGGATAAAAGGTTGATGGGTAGGCTCCAGGATGTACATGTTTATAGAGGGGCAACTGATAAAATCGGTCATTATTTAGTTGTAGCTTCAGTTAGAGTAAGAGGTAGATGGGAAAAGAGGAAGGTGGCAACAACAAGTAAGAGGGAGGTGAAAGTGTATAAACTAAGGGAGGAAAGTTCGGGGGAGATATAAGCGACTGTTGGAAAGAAAGGTGGGCTAGTGCAAAGATGAGTAGTGGGGGGGGGGTTGAAGGGGGTTGGAATAGTTTTAAAATGCAGTATTAGAATGTGGGGCAGAAGTTTGTGGTTATAGGAGGGTGGGGGCAGGTGGAAAGAGGAGAGATTGGTGGAATGTTTGAAGTAAAGGGTGTGATAAAAGAGAAAAAGTTAGCTTATGAGAGGTTTTTACAAAGCAGAAGTGATATAAGAAGAGCAGATTATATGGAGAGTAAAAGAAAGGTGAAGAGAGTGGTGAGAGAGTGCAAAAGGAGAGCAGATGATAGAGTGGGAGAGGCACTGTCAAGAAATTTTAATGAAAAAAAGAAAAAATTTGGAGTGAGTTAAAAAAAGTTAGAAACCCTAGGGAAAGTATGGATTTGTCAGTTAAAAACAGAGTGGGGAGTTAGTAGATGGGGAGGGGAGGTATTAGGTAGATGGCGAGAATATTTTGGGGAAACTTTTAAATGTTGAGGAAGAAAGGGAGGGGTAATTTCATGCACTGGTCAGGGAGGTATACCATCTTTTAGGAGTGAAGAAGAGCAGAATGTAAGTGTGGGGGAGGTACGCGAGGCATTACGGAGAATAAAAGGGGGGTAAAGCAGCTGGAACTGATGGGATCATGACAGAAATGTTAAAAGCCCGGGGGGATATAGTGTTGGAGTGGTTGGTACTTTTGTTTAAATAAATGTATGAAAAAAGGGGAAAGGGACCTAGGGATTGGCGGAGAGCATGTATAGTCCCTTTATATAAAGGGAAAGGGGACAAAAGAGATTGTAAAAATTATAGAGGAATAATTTTATTGGGTATACCAGGAAAAAATGTACGGTAGGGTTATTTTGAAAGAATTAGAGGTAAGACAGAAAAGTAGGATTGCGGATGAGCAAGGAGGTTTCAGAGTGGGTAGGGGATGTGTAGATCAAGTGTTTACATTGAAGCATATATGTGAACAGTATTTAGATAAAGGTAGGGAAGTTTATATTGCATTTATGGATTTAGAAAAGGCATAGGGATAGGGGAGCACTGTGGCAGATGTTGCAAGTATATTTAATAGGTGGTAAGTTACTAAATGCTGTAAAGAGTTTTTATGAGGATAGTGAAGCTCAGGTTAGGGTGTGTAGAAGTGAGGGAGACTACTTCCCGGTAAAAGTAGGTCTTAGACAGGGATGTGTAATGTCACCATGGTTGTTTAACCCTTTTAGGGTCCGTCCCGTAGATCTACGGCTTTACGTTCAGGGTCCAAACCGTAGATCTACGTCATGAGCTCAGCTCACTCTGATAAACTGTGAGTGGTACATTTGGGCCTAGATATGAGAGAATACATCTATATGGTATGTGTGCACCACGTAAAACAAATCCTGCAGCACGCTGTGTATTTAAAGAGAAAAAAAAAACTGAATCATGATTTTTTTTGATTAAA